CTGCAGAACAGCCTCGGCTGATGCCATCCTGGGCTTTTCCAGGGTGGCAGCTCCTGGCTGGGGCAGTGATGGCTGGGTTGCAGGCAGGGTCAGGAATCCCACTGGTTGGGGTTTTTGCCTCATAGTTCCTCATAGTTCCATCCAGCAATTCAAGCCAAGTTCCAGGGTAACTTCTGTCCAACCTGTGTTGTTCTGCCTGGTCTGACCACGACCCCACAAACATCCCGACCCCAGTTAACTGGGTGGCCGAGGCTGTGGCCATCCAAGTGCATTAAGAGCTCATCTGCCATTAATTAATTCCTGCCAGCTGGCAGATCTCAGCAGCCCCACCGCAGGCAGGGATGTTCCACATGGCAAAGCCACCCAGATGTGCTTGGGATCAGGTTCCTTTCCCGGGATCAGCACTGGGATCAGCACCCCATGAGTGCCACGGACCCACGAGTGGTCCCAGCCCAGTCCTGAGGGTTCCAGGTTGCAGCATCCCCATGTTTTTCCCCCCTTTGGTAACCAGAAAAGCAAAACCTCCATGTGAAAGTGGCTATTCCCTGTGGGAATAAGGTGTTTCCATACCCATGGAGCCGGCAAAGGAGTTTATGCACCGGCAGTGGCTCCAGAGCGTGTTTGCATTCAAACAAACTCCTGCATTCAACACACTTTTAATATTAATGCTGCTGCAGCCCAGGATGCAAATGCATCTTTTTAATGGAATATCTTATTAGGTTTGGAAATGGATGGATGGCATCAAAACTGGAAGCTGGCTGAATATTAAGTCGGGAAGAGAAATACTCCAGGAGGGGTGGGGTCCCCCGTGAGCTCCCTGCTCTTGGACACCCGCGTGTGAACCCACCCCCAGCACAGCTCCGTGTTTTGTTATTCCGGGGGGATGGGCTGTGCTGCGAGTCCTGGAAAGGCTGGATCCCCCTTTTCTGGTGCCCGTCCCTGTGCCAGTGGCAGGGCTCAGGTCTGGGGACGCGTGGGTGGTCATGGGAGAAGTCGGGGTACCCCCAGACACCAAGTGCTCCCGGTGCTGGGCTCTGACACTGTCCCTGCCCCGGGGCTCCTCGGGCCGGGGATGGGCTTTGGATGGGGACGAGCCGCAGGGCCGGGAATCTCGGCAGTGAAAGCTGATCTATTGTGTCTGCAATTCCCATAAGTGACAGCCTTAAACGAGCCGTAATTCCCCCATAATTCTCCTTAAATGCCCGTTTTGCAGACGGTGAGAGGTAATTTCACCCACTTTGTCCTGCCGGCAGCGCAAGGGCTGCGGTGAGAAGGGAGCACAGGGATCTCAGCAAGTTGCTCCAGCTTCTTTCCTCTGTTTCTCGCTGGTGTTTTCCCGGGATGTTCCCATGACCTGCGATGTTGCAGCAATCCAGGATGCTGCCCTGACCTGGGATGATGCCCTGGCTGGGGGTGCTGTGGTGCCTTAGGGTGCTGTGCTTCCCTGGGTGCTGCATTTCATGCTTCCCGTGGAGCCTCCTTCCCTGGAGATACCCAGAAGGCATCTGAACACAATCTCAAGGATGAGCTCTGGGGGATCCTGCTTGAGCAGGGAGGTTGGGCTGCATGACCTCCAGTGGCCCCTTCCAACCTGAACCAGTCTGTGATTCTGATTTCCCCGGGATGCAGCACTTCCCCGGGGTGCTGTGGTGACTCAGGATCTTAGAATCATGGAACAGTTTGAGTTGGAAAGGACCCTACAGACCATCTGCTTCCACCCTTCCACCCCCTGCCATGGGCAGGGACACCTTCCACTAGCCCAGGTTGCTCCAAGCCCTGTCCAACCCGGCCTTGGACACTTCCAGGGATCCAGGGGCAGCCACAGCTTCTCTGGGCAACCTGTGCCAGGGCCTCCCCACCCTCACAGGGAAGGATTCCTCCCCAATATCCCATCTAACCTATGTGAGTGGGAAGCCACTCTCCCTTGTCCTGTCACTCCAGGTTCTTAGCCCAAGTCCCTCTCCAGCTCTCTTGGAGTCCCATTAGCCCTGGAAGGGGCTCTCAGGGTTCCCCAGCTGCTCGCTGGGATGCTGCACTTCCCTGGGATGCAGCTGCAGCCTGGGATGCTGAACGCCCCACGGGTGCCCTCAGGGTGGGGAGGGAGGCAGGGAAGGAACTCCCCCTGTGCCCTCCCAGCTCACTCCCTGCTCTCCCCGCTCTCCCCAGTCGACTTCATCGGCGGGTTTGACTCCTACGGGTACCAGGCACCACAGAAGACGTCACACCTACAGCTACAGCCGCTCTACACGTGAGTGCTCGCCGGGCGCGGGGGTGACACCTCCCACCAGCCCGGGGTGCTCCCAGCCCTGTCCAACCTGCCCTTGGACACCTCCAGGGATCCAGGGGCAGCCACAGGGTGCTCAGGGGTGCAGGAGGTGCCAAGGCGCTGCACTGAGATCCTCCCATGGCACCCTCACAACCAGAAGGTTTGGCCCCTGAGGTCCCATCCGGGCTGGGCAGTTGGGGGATGGTGCCCGGTTTGGGGTTTGGGGTGTTTGTGCTCAGCCCCACCCCGGCAGTGCCCCGGGGCAGCAGCAGCTCCTCAGAGAGGCCCAGCTGACTCCTTCCCCTCTCCCTCCCCACCGAGCTTCACTAGACAAACACTCCAACGAGATAAGGCTGCCAAGTCTAAAGGAATTAACCTCTGCCCGCTGCCAGAAATTAATTACATTTGCAGCCTTGTATGCAAATTCAAGGGCACAATTAGAGATGCAAAGAGGGGCTGTGGTGGAACAAAGGCATCTGTGACAGTGCCGGGCACTGCCAGGCTCTCCCGTGTGCCCACCCTGGTTCTGTGCCCCCCTGTGAGGAGCTGGTCCTTCCCTGGAGCCCCCGACCCTCCGGGGTTATCATTTTTATTTACTCCAGTATTTTAGAATTTTATTTATCATTTATTTTGTAATAAATAATATGCGATTTTATATTATAAATTATATTTATTTATATTGTTTTAATTATTATTTATTATGCTATTCTTCTATTATTTATTTATATTATTACTCCAGGTTATAGATATAATACATATATTATATACTTATATAATACATAATATATAATTATATATAATGTATTTTATGTATTATATAATATAATACATAAATAATATAATATAATATAATTAATACAATATAATATAATTAATATAATTAATATAATATAATGCAATATAATATAATATAATATAATATAAAATAAAATAAAATAAAATAAAATACATAAATTATATAAAAATATATAATATATATGCATATATGCATAATATATTTTTATATATTATATATACTATATATGCATTATATACTATAGTATGTATTATGTATTATGATGTAATAATATGCAAATAATAATATTCTATATAATAATATTCTATTTTATAATCTTATATATTATATTATGTATTATATATTATGTCATAATTTAGTTATACATAATATAATAATATAATAAGGTTATATAGTGTAGACATACATTCCAATTTATATAATATATGAATCACATTTTTATATTAAATTATATGTGGGTTTATATTTGTAAGTAACACATAATTTTATTTTATTGTTTTTATTTATAATTTTCTGGGGAATAATTTTTTCCGAGGCCTGAGTGGGGCATGGTGGGGTGGGGACATGGATGGTGCCAGCACCCACATCCTGGGGCTCAGTGAGGGATAATCCCTCCCCCAGGTGGGTGTCCACCCTTGGGTGAGTGCTCAGAGCAACAGGAGTTGGGAATATCCACCGGAATATCCATTTGAAGCGGTGGGACCATCAGGATTTGGGGGGATATCAGCTGGGATATCCATTTTCGGTGGTGGGACCATCAGGATTTGGGGGGATATCAGCTGGGATATCCATTTTCAGTGGTGGGACCATCAGGATTTGGGGGGATATCAGCTGGGATATCCATTTTCAGTGGTGGGACCATCAGGATTTGGGGGGATATCAGCTGGGATATCCATTTTCAGTGGTGGGACCATCAGGATTTGGGG